CTGGAAGCCAATGCAAAGAAGCTAAAACAGGAGAAATGTGATCTCTTTTCCTGGTTCCTGTCAGAACACGTGCTGCAGCATTCTGGATCAGCTGAAGAGTCTTAATGGACTTTTTCGAGCAGCCTGATAATAAGGAATTGCAGTAATCCAGCCTAGAAGTAACAAATGCATGGACTAGTTTTTCTGCATCATTTTTAGACAGGATGTTCCTGATTTTCGCAATATTACGTAGGTGAAAAAAGGCGGTCCTTGAAATTTGCTTAATGTGAGACTTAAACGACATGTCCTGATCAAAGATAACTCCAAGATTCCTCACAGTGGTGCTGGAGGCCAAGGCGATGCCATCCAGGGAAACTATATCTTTAGATAATGCGTCACGGAGGTGCTTAGGCCCCAGAGCAATAACTTCAGTTTTATCTGAGTTTAACATGAGAAAATTACAAGTCATCCAGGTTTTAACATCCTGAAGGCACATTTGAAGTTTAGCTAACTGATGAGTTTCATCTGGCTTGATCGATAGATATAACTGAGTATCATCTGCATAACAATGAAAGCTTATGGAATGTTTCCTGATAATATTGCCTAAAGGAAGCATATATAAAGTGAAGAGGATTGGTCCAAGGACAGATCCTTGAGGAACTTCATGAGTAACTTTGGCGTGCATGGAGGACTCATCGTTAACATGTACAAACTGAAATCGATCTGATAAATAGGACTTAAACCAGCTTAGAGCGGTTCCTTTAATGCCAATGAAATATTCCAGTCTCTGCAATAGGATCTGATGGTCAATGGTATCAAATGCAGCACTAAGATCTAATAAAACCAGTACAGAGACAAGTCCTTTGTCTGATGCAATAAGGAGGTCATTAGTAATTTTCACCAGTGCTGTCTCTGTGCTATGATGAGCTCTAAATCCTGACTGAAAATCCTCAAATAAACTATTGCTCTGTAGAAAGTCACACAGCTGTTTAGCAACTGCTTTCTCCAGAACCTTAGAGAGAAATGGAAGGTTAGATATAGGTCTATAGTTGGCTAAAACATCCGGATCAAGTTTGGGCTTTTTTAGAAGAGGTTTAATTACAGCTACTTTAAAGTACTGTGGTACATAGCCTGTTGATAAAGATAGATTGATCATATCTAGTATAGAGGTGCTGACTAAGGGTAAAACATCTTTAAGCAGCCTAGTGGGATGGGGTCTAAGAGGCAGGTTGATGGTTTAGATGAAGAAATTATTGAAGTTAGTTGGTAAAGATTGAGGGAAGCAAAACAGTCTAAACATGTATCTGGTTCTACAGCTGTTTCTAAGGTTCCTGAGTTTAGAGATAAGTCGGTGCCAATTGAGGGCAGGTCTTGGTGAATTTTGTCTCTAATAGCTAGAATTTTGTCATTAAAGAAGCTCATGAAATCGTAACTACTGAGAGCTATGGGAATACTTGGCTCAATAGAGCTGTGACTCTCTGTCAGCCTGGCTACAGTGCTGAAAAGAAACCTGGGTTTGTTCCTATTTTCCTCTATTAATGACGAGTAGTACGCTGCTCTGGCATTACGGAGGGCCTTCCTATAAGTTTTAAGACTATCTTGCCAAATTAAACGAGAATTTTCCACTTTGGTGGAACGCCAATTCCTCTCAAGTTTCCGTGATATTTGCTTTAATTTGCGAGTTTCAGTATTATACCATGGAGCTAACCGTCTTTGTTTTAGTATTTTCTTTTTTAGAGGGGCTACAGAGTCCAGTGTCATTCGCAGCGAGCCTGCAGCACTATCAACAAGATGATCGATTTGGGAGGGACTGAAATTAGCATAGGAGTCCTCCGTTACTATGTGACTAGATAATGTATTTAGAGCTGATGGAATCGCATCCTTAAATTTAGCTATAGCTCTATCAGACAGACATCTTGTATAAAAATTTTTGCCCAATGGCGAGTAGTTCAGAAATACAAACTCAAAAGTTATCAAACAGTGGTCGGATAAAGAGGGATTCTGTGGGAACACCACTAAATGTTCAATTTCAATACCATACACCAAAACAAGGTCGAGGGTGTGGTTAAAACAGATTCACGTTATTATCTTTGTCAAATATTATTTTGTAAAATAAACCGTTACTTTTTTCGTGCAAGCTCGTTTTGTCTCCCATATTTGTCGCAGCCATAGTGCCGGGCTGTGACAAATGGGGGCTCGTCCAGGCCTTATGACTCTGTGTCTGCTTGACGGCGGAGGTTAGTTGTGGTCTAGTATTAAGTTGTGTGCCTCATTTTGTGAATGAGTTGTACAATCTGGTTGTTTGGGAGACATTGATGAGCTGTTTTGTGAACGAGACCCAGACACCTTTTTCTCACTTATTGAGCGGGTAGCAGAGAGTAGACAGTGGTCAGACTCTGACTGCACATTACTCTTGCAATGTGTGTTGACAGGTAAGCACAGAAGGCCTACTCTGCTCTCATTGTGGCTGAAAGTAAAGTTTATGTGACCGTCAAGGCTGCAGTGTTTATGGCTTGTGAGTTGGTGCTGGAGAGAAGTGTAGCTTGGAGGTGATGGGGAGTGATACTGTAAGAGATGAGAGGGAGAGATACTGGGGCTTTTCATTCACATATTGTGAGCTCTGTGTTGCCATTTTCTCGGGAGAGCACGTGCTGACACGGGGAATGGGTTTAATCGTGCTGCCTATTCCAGTGCTAGACTGACACTTAACTGTCAAGTCTTTAATTGTAACGTGCAACACACACAGGCAAAACAGGAAATGGAGGTCTCTTCTGATGCAGTCTTTAACTATCCTAAAATCTGTCAATCCACCCTCAACACAAGGGAAACAGGCTTCAGCTCCACAATCCAACACACTTTTACTCTCTGGAATGAAGTAGATAATGCGTAGGAGAGGTTCTTATTTGGAAAAGGAGGGGGGAAGGAATCCTCATGTTCCTCACCAGCATCCTACGAGCAGCTTTCCCTCCAGTCAACCCGGCCGCTGCTTGAACTTGTCTACCTCAAAGATTGTGCATCCTACATGGTAAATGGTCTGTATTTGTATAGCATTTACATTTACATTTACTCATTTGGCAGACGCTTTTATCCAAAGTGACTTACATTTGAGGAACAACATACAAGCATCAACAGAGCATCAACTACAGGTCTACAACTGACAATACATACTAGTAAGAGCAGTAATAAATACTAGTAAGAGCTCACAGTACATATCACATCAATGGGGTAGATACCTAGGGAAGGAAGTAAGAGTTAACCAAAAGTGCAATCAAAACAAAAAGTGCAATCAATACAAGATCATTGTGGGGGATAGAAGAAGAAGAGCACAGGAAGTGCATGTTAGAGGTTAGGAGTTAGACGTGTTATAAGACCTTTGTTGTCTTCCGACCACTCAAAACGCTTTACACTTCGTTACATTCACCCATTCACACACATTCATACACTGAGCCTAAGTGCTCAAACGGAAACTAACACTCACACAGATTCATACACTGATGAGCCATCGGGGGCTCAGTATCTTGCCCAAGAAGGGGCGATTCTAGGATCAGACCTTTAGGGGTGCTCAGCCCCTAATGAGAATGTAGCATGCATACAATGCCTTGCAAAAGTGGTGGGGACATGCTGGAGACATCTCCCCACCCAGCTGATTTTGTCCCCATCACTTTTTGAGAGCATTTGTTAACAATCTTCTGAAAAAAAAGCACCAAGAAATGTTAACTAACAAATGAAAACGCTTTGAGAAAGGTTTATTTGCACAATAAGAAAACATGCAATGCAATATAGTTTCCTTCATATAAAAACAGACATTTCCACCGTAAATTGGAGCAGAAAATGTCTCCCGAATGCAGGAAATTACCAGTTTAATGCTAAAAATCTTGCCTTGTCTTGTTCTTGTTCATATATAAATATATATATATATGTATGTGTGTTATGTGTATGTATGTATATGTGTATGGTATGTAATAAATGCATTTTATAAATGTACATAATAAATGCATTACTAATTGTGCACCTATTTATTCATTAGTCGGTTAAGTTGGCGCATTCAGCTGCCTCTTGTCTCAACATCTTTTTCTTCTTAATTCTTATATTTTCGGCACCACACATTTCTTTTTCCTCTTTCTTTCTTTCACATATTTACCGTCTCTGTTGCACTTGTCACACAACCCTGGGCTGAGTTCAGCCCCGACAAATGTAGCAAACCGGTGTAAAAGGTTTTTGGATTAAACTCGCCCCAGAGGGAAAGTAAACGCCTCTCATCGGCGCCGTTGAGATAATCAGAATTCAGCCAAGTTGGGAGGGGCCGCTCGTATCCCTCCTCAATATTGAAAGTATTAGTTTGGCCCCGAGAGACAGACACACAAGCAGCGTTCCGCAAAAGCTGACCTGTTGGCCAGCGCGTTTGCGGATCATTCAGTAAAACATTAGAAACTGAAAAATGTCTGTATTCAGGGACAATAAATCCGTTTAATATAAGAAAAGCCTTATCAAACTGTAGGCTAATTGGTTGTCCCTTCTCTTGCTTTTCCAAAATCTAAAATTGGAGGACATAAAATAATATAAAAAATCGCTCCTATGCCCAAGGACACTTCGAAACACATTCTGACATGGTCTGTTTGTGGAAATTGGACTAAAAACAATTGCATGTGTATGTAAATAAAATTAGTTTTTTCCTTATCTAATATAAATGTGTGGTGGTTTTCTACAAACAGGTTGCTCTGTTTTGTAGAAGTACGTCTTGTTTCATGTTAAAACCACAAACCAACCTGAGTGTGATTTCTCTTTAGTTCTGACCTCACTGCTGAGCTGCACAACAAACCAAGGTGAGAAAACTTCTTCTGTCACAGCCACAGGTGTGCAGCCTGCAACACTGAGTGGTTAACAGATAAAAAAGATGTTTACAAATGTTGCCAGATCTCAACCAACACTGAAAACATGCAGAAAACTTTCATCTATCAGCTCAAATCTGAGTTTAATTCAGTGCCTGAAACTCAGAGATCAGTTCAGCAGGAAGAAGTGAGAAAGTAGGAATATGAGGAATGTGGAGAAAATTAATGCAAATGTTCTCTCTAACCACATCTTTCTGTCTCTTCCTCCAGCCTCTCTGACTGTGAGTCCCAGCAGCTCTCAGCTGTTTGAAGGAGAGTCTGTCTCTCTGAGCTGTGAGGAGGACGACAGCTCTGCTGGATGGACGCTGAGGAGGAACACAACCAGAAGAACCAGGACTCAATGTGATGACTGGGGTGAACCAGCTGGTTCTTCCTGCAACATCAGTTACATTTTCCCAGTGGACAGCGGAGTTTACTGGTGTGAGTCCAGAGAGGGAGCAACCAGTAACACCATCAGCATCACTGTCACTGGTAAGATCAGACTGTGGAGTTAGTGTTGATGAAGCTGTGTGTAAATGATGAAATGCTGTAGTTTGTCTCTGTGTTGAGGTGGACCAGTGATCCTGCAGAGTCCTGTCCTCCCTGTGATGGAGGGACATGATGTCACTCTGCACTGTAAAACAAAGACCCCTACCTCCAACCTCCCAGCTGGTTTCTATAAAGATGGCTCCCTCATCAGGACTGAGCCTACAGGTCACATGACCATCCACCATGTTAACAAGTCTGATGAAGGCCTCTACAAGTGTAACATCAGCGGTCGTGGAGAGTCTCCATCCAGCTGGATCTCTGTCACAGGTGAGGAGGTTACCTTTGATTTCAGGACTTATTTCATCCAGAGATTTACCTGACCAGGTGGGATTCTCTCTACAGGTAAACCTACAACCTCAGCTCTGCCCACATCCGCAGCTCTGCCCACCCCGACAACCCCGCCTCCTCCAACACCACCTGCCTCAGCCCCCTTCCAGCTTGTGTTCAGACTGATCTGCCACCTGGTGGTCTTCTGTCCGTACTTCATCTCCACTGTCCTCATGGTGTCTTTATATCGACACAGGGCCACAGGTAACACTGAATCATTCACTGATCTTACAATAAGTCAATTCATAAAATCAATCAATACATTTATCAGAGAATTTTATCCAAAGCAACTTACAATTACTACATATGTCAGATGTCGCACACCTATGGAGCAACTAGGAGTTAAGTTCCATGCTCAGAGGCACATGGGTGGAATTGAACCCAGGTCTCTCACACCAAAGACATTTGTCTTATCCACTGCACCATCACCATCAATGACATCAGTGATTGACAGTTAGATGAAGATAAATTAAGTAAATTTTATTTCTAACCTGCTCTGAGTGCAGGACATGACCTGCCAGTCTCTATGGTGATGACCCCGTCTACCCAGGCTGAGGAGGGATTGGATGATGACTATGATGATGTCACCACAGAGCATCACTTCTGAGCTGATCCAGTGTGTTCAGTGTGTTCTGGTTCTTAATGAAGCTAAAATGTTTGATTCATCAGCAAATAAACCTCAGATATCACAAACAGCAGAGGACCCAGATCATTATCAGGATTAACTCTGTCAGGTTTAGTGAAGCTTTATCACTCAGAGAAAGACTGACTGTGGTGAACTTGATTCATGATACAGACCCCTGGACAAATGGACAAAGCTGTCGACATGTTTTTGGTCCAAATGAAAGCTCAGGTTCAGGTTCTGGTTTGAGTTTTGTTGTTACTCTTGCTTGTTTGGTTTAGATGTTAAACAGGGTGATATGTTTACTTTTTATTTACTTTAAAAGTTTTCAATAAACTTCACAAAATTGACCAAACCTCAGTCTCTGTGTCATGCTAAGTTACAAGTTATACAGAGGATGTATCATGTTTTTGGGTTTGGTGTAACGGTAGACAGAACGGACCCAAACGCAACGCTGAGGGTTTGAAAAGGAGGTTTGAGGAAAAAGGGGGACGAGGAGGGACGGGAGGAAAGAGGGGGGAGTGGCAGACGAGGACGCGGGGGACCGAGTAGCTGGAGGAGCGGAAGGTGCTTAGGCTGGAGGTTCGAGGCAGGCTGGCAGACGGGGAGGAGAGGACGCAGTGACCGGGGACCCGGCGGGGTGCAAGGGGGGAAGCCGGAGGGCGTCATGGAGGCGGCGAGAGGAGGAGGAGGCTGGCGTGCAAGCCCGGCTGGCCGAACTGGGAGGCAGAGGTGAGTGAACCTGGCAGGAGGAAACAGACAGACAGGGTTAGTAGGTAACTGGGACGTGAAGCAAAGGGAAATTTCAAAAGAGCCAGAACGAAGCGGTGACACCAAGTCAGGAGCTGCGACGATCGAGCGAGGATGGAGTGGAAAGCCGGGGTAGAAATACTGGTCGTGATGAGGCTGATGGCTGGCAGGTGCGGCGATGGAGGTTAACGAGGTGCAGGTGTGGGTAGCCAGCCGGGCTAGAGAGGGAAAGAGAAGGCACAGGAGAAACCAGAATGCGAGGGAAAGGAGAAACAGGACACTCACCAACAGCCAGGCTGTCACCGCGACATTTGGCTTTTTATTTGTTCATCTTTGTTGTGTTTCTGCCATTTCCTCCTGTGTTTATCACTCCCCGCCTCCTGTGTTCTTGGTTTTTTGTCAGTTGTTCGTTTGTTTCTGTGCTCTGTTTTATTTAAGTCGCCCTTGTGCGTCTTTGTGAGTTTTACTTCCTGGTTTGTTTTGGAGTTGTCTGTGTCTGGTGTCTTTGTCTAGCTTTGTTTCCTGTTCAGTCTTATTAGTCCCATGTGTCTCACCTGTGTTACAGTTACCCTGCCCCCTCTATATAATGGTAGGTTTGCTTGTTCCCTTTTGTCGGATCCTTGTAGCTTGTTGTGCTCTTTCAAATGTGTTCCAGTTTTTAATCTTGCTTGTTTTGTTTGTGGATCTTTGTTGCACTTTTGCCTTCTTTTGATTTTGATTGGCTGTTTTGATTTTGTTTCTTTATGGATTTGTTTGGACTCAGTCACTCTCTGTGGCACACAGCCTGTTAATAAAAACAGTTTGATCATATCTAATAAAGAAGTGCTGACTAAGGGTAAAACTTCTTTAAGCAGTCTAGTTGGGATGGGGACTTAAAAGACAGGTTGATGCTTTAGACATTTTTGAAGTTAGCTGGTAAAGGTGGAGGGAAACAAAGCAGTCTAAACATATATCTGGTTTTACAGCTGTTTCTGAGGTTCCTGATTTTGGAGATAAGTTGTTGCTAGTTGAGGGCAGGTCTTGCTGAATTTTGTCTCTAGTAATTTAAATTTTATGATTAAAGAAGCTCATGAAGTCGTTACTAATGATGGCTTTAGGAATACATGGTTCAACAGAGCTGTGACTTTCTGTTAGTCTGGCTACAGTGCTGAAAAGGAACTTGGGGTTGTTCTTATTTTCTGCTATTAATGTGGAGTAATACGCTGCTCTGGCATCACTGAGGGCCTTCCTACATGTTTTCTTGCCAGATTCATCGAGATTCTTTGAAATTGGTGGAATAGCATTTCCTTTCCAAGTTTCTGCAATGTTTGCTTTCATTTGTGAGTATTGTCAGTAATTTTACAGGCCTGCGGTTCTTGTGAATCTTTTGGCTTCAAAGTCAATGTTCTGCAGCCATGCCAGAAAACAGGGGTGAGGTTGAATGATGATGTCCTTTTATTTATTGCCACATGATCATATGTTTGTATACATATGTATATTTGTTTGGTAAATTATATACAAAACCAAGTTAATACATGCTGTCTATAAAAGACTAAATGGCAAAAGATGTGATTTGTCTCTCAGTAAGTGTCTCCACTGTGGCTCTGCACAACCTGGTCAGTTTTCCACTGAGAAACATGTATAAGTATATTTCCTGTTAACTTTGTGAGAGAAAACCACAAGAGTACGAGTGACACACAAAGAGGAAGGAGGAGGGTTTTACTTGGTGTGACTGAACGTTAATGTGTTGATCTCAGATGGCCGAGAGTTAAAATGGAGAAATCATCTTTACCGCGGCTGCTTGGTAAGTAAGAATCTACTTAATGTGTGAATGTTTGTCTCCACATTGTCTCAAAGATTAGGTCTCAAACATTTCTGGTGATTTTTAGATCAACAGTGAGTTATAGAGAAAAGCAGAAAAGTTTTATACAAAAAGGTAAAGTGCTACAGAAGAGAAAAGCACACACATGCCAGGTTTGGAACAGAGGTTGATTTTTGACAACCTCTAATAATATGACACATCACTATCTTTAATTTAACAAAGTTAAAATACACAAAAACAAACAAGTTAAAATAGGGTTTTTACATTTAATGGCACTTTAAGTTTATAAAATGGACAGTTGAAAATGTTCAGTGTGGCTCCAGGGCCAAAGCTGCTCAGTGTGTCCTCCAGTACGCTGTGTTCCACCTGCTGAGCTCCTCCAAGCTCTCAGTCCTCCTTCTGGCTGCCTCATGGTGAGAAACAGCAACCCTAAATGACAAAGTGGGGACAGCAGTCAGGGAGTGTGACAACCCCTCCCAGGCACTAGGTATCCTGTGTCTGTGTCCTGTCTTTTCGTTATTGTCTTATCGAGAGGGGGTTGTAGCCAATTCTGTGCTACCACGCTGACCACTGGTTGCTGCCACTGGGGGCGCTAAAGATACTGGTCTCTGCCACACAGACCACTGGTCTCTGCCACGCTGACCACTGGTCTCTGCCACTAGGGGCGCTAAAGATACTGGTCTCTGCCACACAGACCACTGGTCTCTGCCACGCTGACCACTGGTCTCTGCCACTAGGGGCGCTAAAGGTAGCGGTCGCTGCCCCACGAACCACTGGTTGCTGCCTTGCTGCCAGGCTGCCACACCGATCACTGGTCGCTACCACAGTCTCTAAGGGAAGGCTGCTTTCTGTTCCTTGTCACACAAAATGTGGCTGTATTAAAAAAGGTCAGTTTCGAGTTTTTATACAGTCTGTGGTTCCAAAGTAGACCTAAAGTGACCTTAGATCATTTAAATTATCTCAACTGGCAGATGATACAATTTTTTGTCTAATAGAGGATCAAAGCAATTTTCTACTGTATCAGGCTTAAGAATGAACTTGAACAAATCTGTTTATTACTTACATTAATAAGATAAACACTTAAATGAGCATACTTTCCTAATAAACTACCTTACGCTGCGCACTTTATGACTGACAGGATGGCTGCACTTCTCCACCATCAGCCGCTATCGTGCTCACAGTTTTGAACAAGCAGGTTAAGGCTGTGACCAGCAAACATGAAACTAGAATTAGACTCTGTATTGACTGCTGCTTATTTCTTTAGCATTATTGGCTTTTTGATGCATCCTCCAATTAGTACAGCGCTACATGTGATAATATGCTTGCTATTGTGTGCCGGCGGCCATCAGTGCGTAAAATAATAACACTTAAATTTTATATGTGAAATTGCATCTCTCCTTGAGCAATAGTCTTTGGTGGCATTTTTCACGCTATTGAAACTCAAACAAGGCTCCACACTGCTGCCACACTGGTCGGTGTGGTCGCTGCAACTTAGGGCGCTAAAGATAGTGGTTGCTGCCACACTGACCACTGGTTGCAGTTGGTTATATCTACTGTAATACATCTTTATCGTAATTCTTTGTTAAAATATTATGGATTATGCCTATTCTTATTGTTGCACTATATATTGCAGTTTGTGTGGTTGTACCTACAGTAATAGCCCACATCTATCTATCTTTAGTCCTTGCCTTATAACAAGGCCTGTGATATCACCTATAAATGAAAGTGTGTGTGTGTGTACATCTTACTATATCACAATACTTTGTAAAATATACTCTATTATATCTTATTGATGCACTGTAGGCGTACAGTATATTGCAGTTTGTGTGGTTGTAGCCAATCTACAGTAGGCTAATACATCTATCTAGATCACAATACTTTGATAAATATAGCCTACAACATTATCGATTATGCCTATATTCTTATTGTTGCACTATATATTGCAGTTTGTGTGGTTAACCTGCAGTAATAAATCTCTATCTTTGGTTCTTGCCTACAAGAAGAAGGCCAGTGTTGTCACCTGTGAAGGAAAGTGTGGTGACCACTTGTTGGTTGAATCCAAGCTAGACTGATTTTAACAATAAGAATATAGTTAATCAAAAATTAGTATGCTATATTTTAAAAAGTATTATGAGATAGATATATAGATATATAGATAGATATAGATATATATAGATATAGATATATAGATATAGATATATAGATAGATATAGATATATATAAAAACAATAAGAGTAGGCATAATCAATAACATAGTATATTTAACAAATAATTATGATAAAGGTGTATTACATTAGACACAACCAACTACAACCAGTGGTCCGTGTGGCAGCGACCACAACGACCAGTGTGGCAGCAGTGGTCTGTGTGGCAGCAACTCAAGACTGTGGAGCCTCGTCTCATGCCCTCTCTCGCCAAATTAAAAGATTAAGTCTGGTTCGCGATGTCTTCTTCATACTAGACACTGGTGTTTTTGAATTGAATAACGGCAACCATGCGCATAAAATACTATCTATTCATTTCCAGGCCATTTTATCAACTTAGTTAGCCATTTAACTTTGGAAAGTCTTGTTTATGGTTTCAAAACTTAAAACCTCCAGAATTTTTATGTTGCATAGGGTATCTTTCCCTAAATAATGACATTTGTTCCTCCAAATGAAATTAAAATATCTTATCTAATTCTTTGTATATTTCAGTAGGCATTTCCAGTGATAAGGATACATAGATCTGGATATTCCCTCAGTATTAGATAGTAGAACTCTACCATTCAGTGAAAGATGCCTCATCCACCACATGTTGAACCTTTTCTCATTATTTGTTTAATCATAGGGCTGAAGTTTAGGTTATTGCAGAGTTTTTCATTCTTATCAAACCCAGGTATGTAACTGGGTTCTTCACAGGGATACCAATAACTTCTGATAGTTCACATTCCTTAAGTGGTAGCCTAATAAACAGA